ATATATATATGTATATATATATATATATATATATATATATATACATACATACACACATACGAATATAAAGAGAACATGAAAAGCTTGAAAAATAAAATGGGCAGTAAGCAAAAATCAATCTACCATTAAAATAAGCCTACTTATTAAAAAAATCATTGGCACAGAAGATCCATTCATCTACATATATTTGTATCAGTATATATTGGGGAGTTTTCCATTGACTGCAGGGATTGGTTCTGATCAGGAAACTGGGCAAAACAGACACACTGACGATGGCACAATATAATTTCCCTCTGGATACAGACACCACCAGAATGTGACAAATTCTCGTCTGTTTGTTCATGTTGCTATTGACTCTGGCCATATATCTTTAAGCCTGACATTTGAGTTCTGTTGCAATCTGGTGCCATGATTCTTTTCCAGCATTTTCACATAACTCTTTACTCAGGAGGGGGAATAAAAAGGTAAGTCATCATTTCCCATGCATGAGGCATTCATTGCCTGTCTTTATTGCCTCTAGGCCTTTCTCCACATTGTGTCCTTTGCCTAAAATGCTTTCCCCTCAAATTCTGATTATCGAAATTCTACCAAAACTTTTAGGAGAATAAAGATAGGACCTAGGATTTATTGGTACAGAGAACTCCTGGGTGAGGAAACTCCCTCTACTAATGCAGATTATGTAGTAGGTTATATCTATAACTTATCATAAGAGAGTTTTAGAACACAGAGATTAAATGACTAGCCCAGAGTCATAGAGCCAGTAAGTTTCAAAGGCAGGACTTGAACTCACATCTTCCTGAGTTCAAGGTCACCTTTTTAACCACTTTACCATACTGTCTCTCCTTCTGGAACTTTATTAAAAATCACTTCTTCTATAAACTCCTCCTAATTCCTCCTAAGTAGAAAATAATTCCATTTTACTTCACGTAACATTTTGTTTATATCTATCTTATGCATGTGGATTATAAGTATCTGTGTATGTGCTGTATATCCCCTTCTAGATCATTAACTTCCCCCGAGGACAGGTACTGTGTTTTACTTAATTTTCATGGGGCCTATAAAATGCTCTGCATATTTTGTGGTTATTGCTTTGTTCAGTTGTTTCAGTTGTATCCAACCCTTTGTGACACAATTTAGAATTTTCTTGGCAAAGATACATGATGATTGGCCTTTTCCTTCTCCAGCTCATTTTACAGGTGAGGAACCAAAGTGAAGGGAATAAAGTAACTTGTCCAGGGTCACATAGCTAGTAATTTTCTGAGGCCAGATTTGAACAAGGAAGATGAATCTTCCTAACTTCAGACCCAGTAATCTATCCACTGCAATACCTAGCTGCCTTGCAAATAGTAGACTCTTAATAAATAATATATGTTGAGCTAAAGGAAAATTTTTAAATGACTCATGTTGTGCTCAAAATTAACTTTAGTGCTAGTTGTATATATTGCATTTGCATTGTCTTGTGCTTTGGTAGAACTTGGGTGCACACTCCTAAATTATGAAGTCCCTTACTTTCTCTAAAATTGAACATAAAGATACTACATATTTCAGCAGGTGATAACATATATGACTAGATATAGTTCAAATGTTCAAAATAAAACATTTGATAATTTTAGGGGCAAAATGTTTTTAGCACAGGGAAAAGGACATTTTTAGAGGGTGGCTTCCAATAATACAAAAAATATGATACTTATAGAAGCTCAAACTTTGCTATTAAAGTTTAATTTCAGGAAAATCAAAGGCACATTCACTTTTGAAATGTTTCATCCATTTCCAAAATCGAAAGTGGTTTCCTGAAATCAGGTAAAAAGTTTTAAAGAATATTTTATGTTTAGAAACCCACTGACTCAGTCCATTACTATCTAGATCTTGGATAAAATATATGATAAGCTACCAGTGATCATTAAGCTGGATCAAAATTAAACAGGATGGGGAAACGGGCTGGATTGCATTTGAGGAATTGCATGCTGTTTTTTAATGACTCATGGTTGCTCTTTGACACAAAAACTCATCTTTTCAAAATCAATATTTCCCAGTTATGTTTTATGACTGCTCATCAATGAATCCTAACATCTCAGAAAAACTCCAACTGGCAGTGAGCCAGAGGTCGATGGAAAGATACATGGTGGGCATAAGCAGGATATAACGCTTTACCAATGATGGTTTGTGTGACAAGTGGTGTTAAAGACATAATTAAAGAATGTTGGACCAGAAAATGAGATGGGCTGGTAATTTGAAAAGATGTAAGGATAACACAGGAGCAGCCTGATTTACATTTATATCCATAAAATTTGTTAAATTAACCAGAGAAAGGTTTCTTGCATGTTGGGCTTATGAGGAATACAAAAGATTTGGCCCATATCACAAGATGAGAAGAAATGGAAGTGGATTAGTGGGAAAGAAGAACTCCTATGAATGAGATCATGGTCCTTTGAAAGACGGAAGCAAGAGGAAGAGATTACCTTACAATTATAATACACTTGAACCCCTTTATAATGCTTCTTCTAGAGAACAACACTAATATTTGCCTTATAGGATAACTGCATCATGGCTTATTTTGTCAGAGAATTCTTTTGTTACAGTTTAGGGTACATTATTTAATCTACAGTACGTCAGAATCCACAAAATTAATGGCATTACACATAGTTCTAGAGACAAAATATGATTATAAAAAGTAACATGGCTGGTTTTCTAAAAAATAAATTTATTATTCATAACTTATTCACTTAAATGAGAGGTGTCTGCTTCACATAGGAGCCCTTGGGAGACCATACATCGATTTCAATGATGCTACCATTAATTCCTCAGTTGTCATTGGGCAATGGTTGCTTTGATTGTTGCTTTTAGAATTTACAGCGTGTTATTTTGAACATCCTTGTGGTGGGAAATCTTCATCATTTCAGGACAGATTTAAATTTTAGAAATCACGAAAGATGACTCAGAACAAAATCCAGTGAATGAGGCTGGTGATCAAATTGGGCAATAGCAACATTATCCTATATTGAAGTATAAGATTCAGACCTGAAGTGTAAAAAGGCTCATCCATTTGATCTGCAAGCAGATTACATAGAAGAAATCGGAAAATATTTTTGGGGGCTAGGCAATAGAGTTAAGTGACTTGCCCAGGGTCACACAATTAGTTAAGTGTCAAGTGTTTGGTCTGAGGCCGGATGTGAACTCAAGTCCTCCTGAATCCAGGGTCGGTGCTCTATCCACTGTGTCACCTAGCTGCCCCCTGCAAAATATTTTGAATGATTGACAGTTCCATTGGCAAAAGTACACAAAGGAATTTCTTTGAAGGATGATTCTCACTCTAGGTTCAGAAGGGAGAATGGGGATATGCAAAGTGAACAAACAGAAGAGAGCAAAGGAGACGCTGTATATATACAACGAAGGGCATATTCCCCTGGGGAAGTCTCCAGAGCACTAGGACTGTAAAAGTCTGCTAAAAGGGGAAGGGTGGGTAATTATAGTGGCCTTGCTACTATGGTATTCATGGGGGCTAGCTATTAAGAAGGAAGCTAGTATATCTTGCACAAAAATGATTGGTAGAACTGACCTATACATGGCAGCAAGAGAGCATAGAAAGAGAGAGAGCAATTAGAGTACAAAGGAGAGACTAGTTAAGACTGGGATGGCTGCAGCTGGCATGTTGGGGTCCTGGGTCTTTCTGATCTCAAGCCAGTATTGTGGTGATAGGTATTAGGGATGGAGGGGTAGAGGGAGTTCATGGCTGTCTGTGTTAGTCTAGATTCATGGCTCATGATACTCCAGAATCCATATATAACACATACCAGAACTGGAGGAATAAGTCTCCTTATATCAACATGAGAACTGAGGTCAACTTTACCCTAGAGCTGTCTATCCAAAGGATATCAGGGGAGCTTAGTCCCAAACCCCTCTCTCCTGAAAAAAGGCAACATCCTCCACCCATTCTGTGAACTGTACATTCCAGTTCATTTGTTAATGAAAAAATCGGTTCTGTTGTTTCATAATTTTACCTGATATAGAAATGTGTGCTTTGGTCTTCCTGATTGGTTCCTTCATAAATCTTTGTCTTTCAGAAAATAAAAGAGCTCAGGACACTCTAAAGAATGTTTACACAAAACTCAATATGAGGGGCAGCTAGGTGGTGCAGCAGATAGAGCACAGGCCCTGAAGTCAGGAGGACCTGAGTTCAAAATCTGGCCTCAGGTCACACACTTGACACTTACTAGCTGTGTGACCCTGGGCAAGTCATTTAACCCCAATTGCCAAAAAAGAAAAAGAAAAAAGAAAAAACAACTTCAATATGATTAAGTAGAAAAGGAAATCCACACCTTGTCCCACAAAGCATCGTTTAAAAAGCTGATACAAATAGCCCACATAAGGAGTTATACCCTTACCCACAGGTGTTCTGCCCATAGGAATGTAAATTTGGATTGCTGAAACCTCACAAGATATCATGGAGTTTACAGGCTAGATTTCTTTTTTGAAGGACCTGAAATCTACATCACTCTGACTCTCCCTGATTGATCAACAGCAGGTCTCAGCCCAAGCCTACCTTGGTCATTGTCTAGAGTCTGGTGTCAGAGGAAATGTAAATAGCAATTGTTTTCCTTTTGGCCAGAAACCCTGAGGGTCTTTCCCTCCCAGATTGATTTTTTTTTTAATAGGTAAAAGAAGCCATTTTTTTTGCCTCATTTCTTACTTAGCCTTAATCACTGATTGGGTGTTGCCTCAGACAAACTGAGACCTAGGAAAGACCTTGGCTCAAAAAGCACGAAAGTTTCCCACTGCATCTGGGGCCATTTCTAATCAACCTGATTTATCATGTCTTGCCACTGGACACAGATAGCTCTGGAGGAGGCAGTGAGGCTGGTGACCTTGAACAGCTCTGCCTCACTTAAATCCAATTCACTTACAAGTCATGACATCGCCTTCCAGATGTCGTAGTCCTCTTTAAGAACAAAAGATAAACAACAATAACACACAAGATGGAGGAGGCATCCTCTGGGGCTCACCTTGCCAGTGATGCTTATAATCACACATGCGCGACAGGGCGATCATCATGGCACAGTACAAAGGCAGGATCGCTGCACAGAGTCGCCAGCTTTTCCCACGCCCATTCTCTGTGAAACAGTGCAACTTCCCAGCTAAGTAGAAGGTTGTAAAGCCCAGGCCTGAAAATGCAACTGACAAAGAAAAGAAAAACACGTTACCCAAAGAAGCAGCTGACAGTAGGTTTGCAAGATATCTTGATTGAGATTGAAAAGACCGAGTTTCAAGTCCCAGCAGCACAGTTCCAACACTTAATTGCAATAACTCCCTGAAAATTGGGGAATGTCTTGGAACCTCCGTTTCTATGACTGTCAGATGCTGGTAAAACTTCTTCTATCTACCTCACTGGGTTATTGCAAGGAAAACATTTTTGTCAACTATAAACCACTACTCAAAGTTGAGCTAAGCATCAGAAAACATCAAACTAATTGGTATACAGTTAAAAACTCTAGTTGTTCAAGAGGTTTCAGATGTAAAAATAAGCTGGGCATTTGCTTCATTAGTTGCCGCAATTAATCATCACAACATGGTAAAGTAGCTTTCCTTAAAGTAGCTCAAAAAGCAATGAAGCACACACAGTAATTTCATAACATCCCCATACTGTACATAGGCAACATTTTCATTTTCCAGAGGAGTAAACTGAGGCAACAGCATGAAATGACTTGGAAACACAGAGAGACAAAACTAGGAGTAGTTGTGTCTGTCAAAAGGATGCAAGGACAACTGGGCAATTTGGTGACACACATTTAGTGAATAAATTAAATTTGGCAAATAAATTAATAAATCAAGACCAGTAGTTTATTTTATTTTTTCAGTCATTTCATTCAATATGAAATCAATCCTGTGTTGGCACAAGGTTGTTTTTCCACTTAGACCATGCTGCATCAAGAAATCAATGTAAATGCTCAAGACTGTCATTGTCCAGTGACACTAGCTGATAAATTTCATACCTACCAATGATTAGGAAGAAATGAAAGGGAACTTAGTGAAGGGACATAAAACATAATATTATGATTTGGAATTATGTTGCCAAGGACAACTGTCAAGAGGTCAAGGTGTTGGCACGACTGATCTTGAAGTCAATTTCATAATATATCCATCCATTCCACAATTGTTCTACACAATTTTAAAGCCTATCCATACAACCTGATTTTGTAGATAATGTTAGAAGACCTCTTACTTGATTGGCCCCTTTTTGAGAATTAAGGTATCCAATGATCCAATTTGTTCACATCCCCATAAACAGTGGACAGAACATGGACTAAGAATGAGGAGCAGTGATTTCTAGCCCTGGCTCTGCCACTAAGTAAGTGAATTTTGAAGTATGTGATGAGAAATTTAGAGTAGATGGTCTGAAAGTCCCCTTCTACCTCAAATGTCTATGAATCCATGATTCTAAAAGAGAGCACTTAAATGATCTTTTCCCACTAGAATTTTCTTACTTTATTTAGCAAATATTTACCACTAAAATGGAGAAAAAATAAAATAATATGGGTAATTATTCTAGTCTTCCAAACTGACAAGACAGCATCCACTATGCCTCAAAATAAACGTTTAATTTCTTTCCCCACTGGATCCTCCAGTGGCTAAGACAAAGCAAATAACCACTGTCAACATTTTTAATGCAAACTTCCTTATGTTTCCTACAAATAGGGTTGTTAACTGTTCTTCAGTCACTCAAATGGTCTCTTACAAATAGGAACCGTGATGATGGCAATGAAAACATATTTCCAAAGGAGAACTCATGTAAAACGTAAGTCTGTATATATCTGTCCTAAAAAGTAGGGAGGAGCGAAAATGCAAACCATATAAAATTGTTATCAGCATCAAACATTTATCAATAGTCTACTCTATACAAGGTTCTGGGTAGGACAGGAGAAGAACAGAAAATGCAGTTTCCTACATTCAAGAGTGTTATAATTTAAGGAGATGGAGCTTATATACAACATTGGCATGAATACAAGCTGTCCCAGAGAAATGATTGTGCCTCAAAAGCGACATACTTTCAAAAGACAAAAACATCCTGAAGTTTATACAAAAACATTGCATAAAATGCTTTTTACTGCAAAATTTATCTTCCATTTATTTCAAATAAAGACTTTTTAAATGGATTTTGATCATTTCTATTGTCTTCATCACTTTTGTTGTCATTCTTCTCCCTTCTTCCCATAATATGTCACCAACATCACATTCTCTACTTGCTTCCCTATTGTTCAATGGTTTTAGCATAGTTAATAACTTCTCTCTCAAAACTCATAGCATAACGGCATCTCTAACCCAGAATGACTGCTGTTTTCTGACATGTTCATCTATCTTTGCAACCAAAAAAAACATGCATACAACTGCTAGACCTGCCTCATAAAACAGCAGGGGGAAAAAACAAAAACAAAAACCAAAACCTTGGAATCATTTTGTAAACTTGAAAACACTATATGATAAATGTCAGCTATTATTATTAAACCTGTTTCTAAGCAAGACTCCCCTCTCCAGCAATAAATGGACATCCAGCCTCCTCAAAAAGGCCTTCAGTGACTGGGGAACTCACTGCTTCCTTGGGCATTCCTCTTTTAGACAGTTCTAACCATTAAGGCAGTTTTTCCTTACGCTGTGGAGAAAACTGCCTTTTTTTAAACTTTCACCCACTGTTCCAAGTTCTATCCTCTGGGACAAGGAGAACAAATCTACCTCAGTAGGACCGAATCATGGAGGATCTTGAATAACTGATCAAGAGAATCTAAGCTTTGTCCTATAAAGGAAGAGAATCTGATTGAGGATTTTGAGTAGAAGATGTACCATGTTGCTATAGAAGATTAACCTGGAGGTAAGGAGGGTAACAAAGAATGAGAGGCACTAAGAGATATTTTATATTTACTCCTAACTGAACTTACTACCCAGAGCCTCTCCTGTACAATTGATAGAGAAATATAAAACGTAACCCTTTGTTGTTGGGTTGTTTTGGTTGTGTCTGACTCTTTGTGACTCCATTTGGGTTTTCTTAGCAAAGATACTGGAGGGATTTGCCATTTTTTTTCTCCAGCTCATTTTACAGATGAGGAAACTGAGGCAAACATGGTTAAGTGGCTTGCCCAGGGTCACATAGCTAATAAGTGTCTGAGGCCACATTTGAACTCAGGTCTTCTTGACTCCAGGACCAGTGATCTATTCACTGAGCCATCCAGCTGCTCGACCTCACGGTAGTAGAAACTTAATATGTATTTGTTGAAATAAATTGAATAATCCCATCTCAGAGCTCCTCAGGGATAAATACACTGGGGAACATGAAGTAGAACCTTGGGATTACCCCATACATCATGAGAGACAGAATAGAGTAATAGAAGTAGCACTGTGTTTGCAGGCAAAAGACAGGTTCAAGTCTAAGTTAAACTATTCACTAGCTGTGTGACAATATATATAAATCATCTTGCCTCTTTTAGCCTCAGTTTCTCTATCTGTAAAGCAGGAATAATAATATCTGCATAATTTACTTCTTAGGACTGTGGTGAGGAAAGTAATTAGTAAACCTTATAATGCTATATAATGTAATATAATATATATAATCTAATTATAACATAATATAACATAATATGTATAATACATATAATTATCATTATGTATTTCAAATGAGTTAATATACAAAAATGCCTTTTAAGCCATAAAATGTTAATGTGATTGTTAGACAGTAATAATATTATATTTCAGCACCTATTAAGACCTTGCATTTTAAAATCTACTAGTTCTCTACAAATAGATGTTTTTGGGGTAAGGGGTGGGCAGTGAGCAGTGGAAATCAGGTAGAAGTCCTCATTTCTAGGCTATGGAATGGAAAGCCTAGACAAGATAAGAAAATAAGAAGTGTTACAATCAATTTGTAGGTCCTGTTCTACTTCTGAGTATCAAGAAATTCAACAGCCAACTGTCACAGCCAGCTCAAGAAAGAGATAGTTTGCTTATTCTAAGGGGTTGATGGCTACCTCTGTCATGGAAGAGAGGGATGGAACCGGGAGCAGAAATTAATTGGAAATAATAGCATGATGTCAAAAGTGAAACCAGGAACCAATTCGGAAGGCATCAATCCAGAAGTGAGGTTAGAAAAGAAAGATTGGGAACCTCAAAGTGAAGGCAAAAAAAGGCTTTGGGAGAACTCAGGAGTGAGGCTGGGGGGGAAAAGGAAGAACTGGGAGCAAAGGAAGGTCAAAATACCAAAGAAAGAAGTATGATAGCTCAGGAAAGGGAAGTCATTATCATCATTGTGGCATGTGGGGAGTATTCACAAGTGTCAAATCAGACTCGTGGTTAATCTGGTGCTAGTGAAGCTAAGAAATTATATCTTGTCTAGTCCTGCCTGTGTGTATTTTACCAGCGGAATCTGCTGCTAGTTGCCTGGCCCTATAGACAGTATAGGGCAGCTAGGTGGCTTTGTGGATAGAGTGGCTGGCTTAGATTCAGGAACACTCATCTTCCTGAGTCTGGCCTCAGACACTTAGTAGCTGTGTAACCCTGGGCAAGTCACTTAACCCAGTTTCCTCATCTGTCAAATTAGCTGGAGAAGGAAATGGCAAACCACACCAGTATCTTCACCAAGAAAACCCCAAGTGGGGTCACAAAGAGTCCGACAGACTGAACAACAACAGGCCTTTGCTTTGCTGTTAGCAAATGAATATTCAAGGAAAGAGCTACCGGATAAATATATAACACACCTGTACTCACAGGGAAATGGCTAGGTAGAAGAGAAAATGTACTGACTTCTAGGTAGGTAAGGTTGTACTTTCAAATGTTTTCACAAATATAGAACCATCACATGTGCAATTTTAATTTCCAAAAGCCTCTTTTTCATTTTTATACAGGTAAATAGCTTACCTTTTCCAGAGAGAAGTTTTAGGGTCCCATGCCCTATGACTACAAAAATCCTATTGCCCTGAAATAAGAATCTCATAGATAATACAGAATGACTCAGAAACTACACAGACGCCTTCAACCTGCAGCATAGAGTCATCATTATCTAAATCTCCTTCAGTGTTTTCCATGCCTGATGCAGCACAGAGAACAAAGGATTTGGAGCCAAAGGACATGAGTGTAAAATCTAACTCTGATCCCTACCATTCACTTTGCCTCCTTGGGCCTGTTTCCTTATGTG